GCTCTCAAATTAACGCCTTGGTTGAATGTTAGTTTCGGGAATTCTAAACTTCCATAGGAACTCCCTGAAAATTCGAATAAGAGGAAAGCAAAATATCAGGGGGACAACATATTATCTATACTTAACAAGTAAACACTGCAAGGCAAGCCAAAATATTACTATTGACATATATTAAGTAGTCTAGAATATAAACCGAAGACAGATAAAACTTCGACCATATATGTCAACTTAGTGCACCTTTCTTCAAGAGTGGTCTAAAGGCAACGACAAACACACCTGATAGTTGACCATTAACAAAGGCATGCAATGCATGGCCGGCCGATAAGACGGTAAGAACAGGAGATTTTCCATTCCTCAAGAATCCTTCCAATCTTAACACTGGGGATGGAAACAAAAGGTAAAGAACATCAGAAAGTCAATTTTAACACTGAATTTAATAAAGACAGATTATGCAAATCAATATGAGGTATTGACATTCACAACTTACTCTGTTGTGTACCACAAATAGTCAGTTGCATCTCTAGTTGCATTTATTTGCTCCAACAAACAGACCATCGTGAATGAACCGTCAGCACTGGATGTGGTCCCTTCAGTTTATGCATGCCAAGAGAATCCCCCATGCATGGGAACGGGAACCATTTTCTTCCGTGCAATTTGGGCTCCAACCTATGAGGAAAGGAACGCGGGCTTCAGCATGTGACTAGAAAAACCAAAAGTCCAAAAGCAATAAAATAAAGACATTAACAGACAGGATTATGAAAGAGAAAACCAGAGTCATGTACTCATGTGCAAAGAAAAATAATAATTCATTTCAACCATGACTAGCAAACTCCACTAAAGAAGAGATTGAACATAGTATGATATCAATTAAGACTGAATACGAAACATACATACATACAATACAATAGACTGAATAACAAGAAAAGGTTAAGCAGATCAAATGTAAAGCATACATACAATAAGGTCCGGAGCATCATCTTGCTTGCACATGACCCAGGGGGCACCAGTGCCTAGTCCCAAAGCCATTTTAGCTGCCCAATAACTATAAGCTTTACCAGGTGCGCCGAGCTCATATTCCATGGGCCCATATTCGTTCTCAATCTGTCGAAAGCAAACATTATAAATGGCATATGACTTGGTTCATCATTCTATTCCAATGAAGTGACAATTAAACAAAGAACAGCTTCCAGATCAAAGAAATTTCTCCCAATTTGCCTACCTGAGATAGAATAATAGGACCCCCTTGAGACTCAAACAACCTTTCAGCTTTCATCATATCTACAATCTTTTTTGTAAATCTTTGCATTTGAGCCTTCATTACAGCGATTTAGTTTGTAAAATACAAGATTAAACTAGAAATTAAATAAAAACAAATACATCGAAACTTTGGGTGGACGGATGGAAATCGGCTAACCTTAAAAGGTCCATTGCTCGTTCTGAAACTGATACCGGGAACATACTTCAACCAAACAGGAAAACCCCTGAAGGAAAAAATAACATTAAAGAGATTGCTTGAACTGCGCTTTATCTTGAATTTCTTTATACTTGTTAAAAAATATATTTTTAGCATTACCCAAAATTCACTCGGCACAGACATAAGGACCAATCCTCAGATGAACATAAAGACCTGCTTGCTTCTACAGCTTAATAAATTTGACCAAATCGTAGTTGCCTCCGAAGTAATACTAGAATAACCAAAATTAGAAAGTTTCAAGTTTTTTTATGCCATTACCAAAAACACAAGCTCTGTGACATAAAAAAGTGTTTTTTCCATTACTTTTCCAGGTGCAGGCTTACGGTCATTCCAATAAAACGTATGTCTGAATCACGTCTAGCCCTCCTTCTTTAGCCTTCTGTATAAGATATGGCCACATCTGCCAAACAAAACCCCCCAAATTCAGGAAAAAAGATAGCTAGCTCATTTAAAAATAATAGATTAACAGAACGATACACAGGCATGAACATATGCATAGCTCATTTAAACATAATAGATTTGGAAATGCATGAGTTTACCTCAGGGGAGCTTCTTGGGTAGTGAATGGAACCAGAAAGAAGGATCCTTCTTTGGCCATTAATGGTGATATCTTTATGATCATATGAAACAGAAGCAGAAACTGAACAAACCCATGAAGCTAACAGAACAACCAACAAAGCATTCAGCATTACAGGAAGCTTGGAGTAGTTGGAATCCATGGCCATGGTCAAGAAGAAAACAACTTTAGAACAAATAACACTCTTGTTCACACTCAAAAGCAATGCCTTTTTTCACAGGATTCTTTATCTTGTACACTTTATTCTCGAGAAGAAGAAAAAAAAAGGAAAAAGGAGAGGGAGACGATAAAAACCAAACCAAAAAGTTAGCTGCTTATGTGCTTGTCAAATTGAGTCCTCCATTTCTTTCAAACCTTAAATAGAACTTTTGCTACTTTCGCCAAATGAAAATGAAAAAAGTTTGAACTTTTGCTCAAAGTGAAGGTGGTTTGCAGCTGCATTTAATCAGTGAAGAACTTGGGGGATTGAAAATGAAATGTGGGGGACCCTTTCCGATTGGCCTTTTGGCGCGTGGAGCTTCGTTTTCAATCCATCAATCTAAAGGCAAAGCCATATCTAATGATTTCTCACCACCCTCCATATTCTTTGAAAATTTATTATTTAAAAAAGATGTGATAAATAAAGCTGAAGATTTGTTTGGCTCTACGTTTAAAATGAAAACATGTTTTCATGGAACTACGAAAGCTTATATTTTTTATTTTCTTAACCTCATTCCCACTCGCTGTCATCGCGTGTGGAAAATTAATAATGTGAAATACGGGAAAATTTATGAGAATAATTCTCGAAATTGTTTTTAAATTTGAAAATAATTTTCTTTAATATTATTTGCGATAATCGTTAATTATTTTAAGTTAGGTATGATTGAAGATTTATAAATTAAAATAATTTTATTTATAATAGATATTGAACCACAGTTTAAGGGAGTATTGACCAAGAGTTTTTAATCATCCTCTATCAAGATTATTGACACTTACGAAAATATTAAAACACTCTTACTACGTCTAAAAAATTAGTACCTTATTAAAAAAAAATATAATCACATTTTTTAAAATAAATGAAACACAAAAAGGTATTGGTAATGATAATAATAATAATTAATGATAATAAATAATATTAAAATAAATAAATATGCTAAAACAATAAATAAGTAAATAAATCATTAATACTAAAAAACTTATGACTAAGTTAAAGAGACCTAACTTACAAGGATTAAATTTCTAATTAATTTATTTTTATCATTTAATTAATTTAGTTTAATGGTTGAAATTAAAACTTTTAAACAATAATTATTTATTTCCTTCCCCTAGAGTTTTCTTTCTCCTCCCTTTTAAATAGGGTTAAGATTAGATATAGAATTTGTCAAAAAAAATATGTGTACCCCAAGAACATTTTTGATTTATTGAAATCCAAATTTATATAATTTATAGAACAGATGGAATATAGTCATATAAGCTAAGCTACATGGATTTAGAACTTGTATTTTTCCCCATTGGATGAGGCCTTTTCTTGGATTTAGAAAACAAAAAATATATAATAGATTTGTTTATGGGTTAGATCAGACTTGAATTTGTTCACACACTGATCATGTCCTACTGGGCTGTAAGACCCATGGAATACATAACACATGCTCTGGTTTTTAATGGCTTCAGTGGCCACCTAAATACAACCAACTCACTACTGGAAAGGTCCCTCCTGCACTGAGTCAACCCGTAAAGTTTCTCTGATCCATACAGCTACGTCTCTCCGACGGCATACATTCCGGGATTACTCATGTTATTCGAGTTCCACATGTAGAACCTATTTAGATTATTAACCTGGCCGAAGAACTCCACGTTTGAATTTGATTCCAATTAAGTCTGAATTTTACTGTGATATCTGAATATGACATCTTCTATTAGAACGAATTCATAGATCATGAGTGCAATGCGTCTCTCATATTTAAGTTTCAATCTTTAGATAAAAAATTGGGAAGATTAAAATTGAGGGGAGAGACGCATTGTGATCCGGGGAGGGGGGAGTCGCATGGTGTTCCATGCGATCTTGGGGAGACGCAGGAAGCCCAAGCGACTTTGATGTGTACTGTAACATTCACCTCATTTGAGCAAATAATTCCGAAAGTGTACTATTCGAACAATTTTTTCCCAACTGCATTATTGCAAAAAATCACCCCACGATAATTGTATGTACACACATAAACGGCTGATTTTTTGCAATAATGTAGTTTAAAAAAGTGTTCGAATAGTGCACTCTCGATATTATTTCTTCAAGTATGGTGATTGCTACAATACACCCCAAAGACACATTACAATCCTTGTGACTCTATTATAAATTTGGGGGAGACGCATGGAGTGCAATGTGTCTCCCATATTTTTTTCATATTTTGTTTTTTTATTTAAGTTTTAATCTTTAGATAAAAAAAATTGGGACGGCTAAAATTGGGGGAGGGGAGAGACGCATTGTGATCCGGGGAGTGGGAGTCGCATGGTGTTCCATGCGACCTTGAAGAGATGCGGGGAGACTTCGATGTGTATTGTAACATTCACTCCATTCGAGCAAATAATTCCGAGAGTGCACTATTCGAACAATTTTTTTTCAACTGCATTATTGCAAAAAATCACCCACACATAAATACACTTAAAATAGTGTCATGTTTGTATTAGTGATAGTGACCTTGAAAATAAAACTAAAATTTCATATATACAATAACATAAACTAAAGTTAGTGTATCCTATTATATATTGAATTAATATTTTATTTAAAATTTTAGATTTATATCTATACTTCCTTATATGAAATTATTCAAAATATTGTTTTCTTGAACGAATATAATACACAATACTCAAACACTTAAGATTAATAAACAAGCACAATATTGACCTACTTAATTTATTTAACTGTGTTTTTTATGCTTAGACGGAATGGCTTTATCTCTGCGAAAGTATCTGAAGTTACAACTGCCAACAATGGCGCAGCAGCCCCTTGGTCTTCTCGTCGAATGAATCGGATTCACTCACCTTATTCGAGTTCGATGCGTAAACCTCGTATAAATTATCAAACCGGCCGTGGAATGGAACGTTCGAGAACCTTAGAAGACAAGTATCGTATCGGATGACTGCAGCACCGTAGTCTGGGCAGCGCTTCCGTATGAAACAGCCTGTTTTAAGAATACAAGTTTTACAATCGGTCTCGGAGTAATCGCGTCTGCAAAGTGCGAGACCGTACACTTTGTCCGGTGTTTCACCTACGACACCAAGGGCGAACCGTCTCGGAGGAGCATTAGTAGAGAGGTACAAGATGAGCTGATTTAGGTTGGCTTCAAAACTATAGGAGGATTCATTCCTAGAGTAGGAACAGCCAAAGGAAATAGCACTAGTACCGGCTCCAAAAGAGTCGGAACAACTAAAGTAATTAGCATCAGCTTGGAAAGCTATTTCGAGAAGAAAAATAAAAATTATGAAGTAAATAAAAGAGAAGGATTTTGAAGATGACATCGTTGGTTATAATTTTGTTTGAATCTTTGGATTAAAAAAAAACCCATTATTTATAGGGAAGAAAATGAATGAACTGATTATTGAAATTGGTTGAACATGCGTGATGCATGTATGACTATTGAGTGCTAAAATTCATAGATTTTTAATTTAAAAGATGTTGAATGTTACGCGCGGGTAACTCCAAATGAAGCACTTCTAACATTGCCCGGTATCCGAGTCGTACATCTTTTTTCTGTTTGGTTTATTTGCAATTTTAGCTCTTTTATTTTTGAACATAGTTCAATTTAGTTCTATTTTGGATGATTAATTTTTGTTTCGGCCATAACATTTGGATTTTTTTTCAATTCAGTCCTGCCGCGCTTTAGGATTTTGCATTCAGTTCTAATATAGTATTTAAATAAAATCTCGGCCCTAAGATGTTTAGAATTTTTTGAGCAAGTCCTTAATTCAAGATTAACTAATAATTTTGATCTTAAATTTCAAATTAATTTCAACTTTGATTTTATTTTAGCAGTTAATAAAACTTTAGGTCCCTAAACTTTTAATATTTCTCAATTTAGCTCGTAAGCATGTTTCTTTGTTTCTTTAGATCCCTAGACTCTTAATATTTCTCAATTTAGCTCACAAGCTTGTTTCTATATTTTACAATAACTAGGGTTACTATAAATATCCATCAACATCATGACCTGTCCTGATTATTTTTTAACTTGGGGAGAAATTATAAAAATGGGCCTCTAATTCAAAAGAAATTTTAAAAATATGTAATATAAAATTTGGTAGTGTTAGTGTCAATTCTTTCCAACAAATTTTTTCTCAATGCATAACATAGCATTTAGAAATAAAATAATGATCTTATCTAGAATTTAGAAATATATAAAAGTAAAAAAAAATGATTTAGAAACATGATTTGACCCAGAGTTTTAATAACAATCTTCAATATGATTGAAGTACCACAATTGGCTATAAATAATTGTGACTCTGTGTTTTGTGTGTGAGAAATATGAGAAATTAAAAGGTGAGAGTAATAATTTTCAAAGGAATTGTGAATTATGGAAGAGAAAAGAAGCATGCTAATTAAACTTAAAAAAATATTTTCCATGCATTGATATGAAAAATTGAGAAAGAGACTTGGTGCATTGATTGTGAGGATTTGGAGAGACCAAAATTAAAGAGATTTAATTGGATTTTTTTTTTGAATTTTAGACAAAAAAATATTAAATTAAGATTTTATGGGATTTGGAAGAACAATTTATTAAACTTAATAAACTCATGGGTCTCGTTATTTTATTTTAGTCTTTTTTATTATTGAAAATTTAAAAAATATTATACTAAAATCTTCTTTTCGTTTATAGCCCATGAACCCTGAGCGGGAGCCCTCCTACCTTGGCCCATGGCCGGCCCAGCTCAACATGAGAATGAATATCTAACTTTCATATACCTAAGTAGACTCGTGCTTTCTCACGATATCTACTTCTTGTCATAAAATAAATATTGGTTAAATGATAGTCCTCTTACAATTGTAATTCTATACCCAAATTAGAATGAAATGATCAACAAAATAAACTTATTGGCTTAACAAATACTTATTGTAATTCTCACGATATCTACTTCTTGTCATAAAATAAATATTGGTTAAATGATCGTCATCTTACGATTGTAATTCTATTCCCATACTAGAATGAAATGATCAACAAAATAAACTTATTGGCTTAACAAATACTTATTGTAATTCTCACGATATCTACTTCTTATCATAAAATAAATATTGGTTAAATGAACGTCTTCTTACGATTGTAATTCTATACCCAAACTAGAATGAAATGATCAACAAAATAAACTTATTGGCTTAACAAATACTAATATTATATTATTGTAATTTTAAGACGTTGAACGAAAAATCTTAATTCAACTAAAGCGATATGATTTTAATTAATTTAACGATACATCAAATTACTAATAAAACAAAGTAATATAAACAATGTGTTTAATCTACGAGTAATTTACACAAGTAAGATCTGAACTACAATGGCCAAGAATCCGGCCAGGGTCCAGCGTGAAGCCAAGTAAGGTATTTCACCGCCGCTACTTTCCCTGTCCTCCCTGGTGGCGGTCGGCGTGGTGGAGCCATTGTAGTTAGGATTAGTGCCGTACAACGACTGAATCCCTTGTATATCATCATCTCCAAGCTCCACTTTCCTCGTTCCCGAAGTGATCGTAGGGTACATAATCGCATTTTCCACCGACGAATGCCCCAGCCTCACAAATGCCCGATCTCGTGAACGGCCATCGTCTCCAAATCCACAGCCGAAGGCATCTCCGACCTCATGACGTCGCCGGAAACGACCCAGTTCTCGTCCGCATCCAAATGGAACCTCCCACTCGGAGGAGAAAACGCGTGAGCCAACGTCCCTAAAATCCCATCGAACGGTTCTCCGTCTCCGTGGTCTCCGCTGTAAAAACCGATCGTGATATCGGCGGTGGAGTACGAATCCGTTTCCGTGAAAGTCAGCGTCGTAACGTCGGACCATTTCTGGAAAGCGCTGCTGAAGACGGCCCTCACCTCGTCCGTCAATTCATTTCCGGGTAAGAAACCGTACGTTAAGTCCCTCCTGTTAGCAGGCTAACGCGGCATTCCCGGGAAGAAAGTGTAATGACCCGTCGTGTGGAAGTGTCCAACGGTTTCGAAAGATGAAGAATTACCGGAGTTCATGGAAGATGTTCCATTGACAACATCGGCGTTACCGCATCTAGGTCGCACGATGTGCTCAAGAGTCCGATCATCGAGTTGACTGTTAACGTCAAGGTTGAAGTTCTGCTGGTACGTCTTCAAGGCCTTTTCAAGCTCGTCATCGAAATCGTCGGTGAAATTAGACGACGGAGAATTGGGGATGTAACCGAAGTTGCTGAAGTATCGTTTGAGCTTAGACAAACCATCTCGCGTTTCTCCCGAGTGGCAGCCGGCTAACTTCGTGAAGGCGTCCCATGCGGCGGAGGTGGTGGCATTCGGGTGCTGCTGCCATGGCGGAATAGCTGTTATGTTGGGGAATAATGTAGCCGACACTGAAGCAGAAGAGAGGGAGATCAACAAGGTAAGCACAAAACCTCGATGTTCCATCTTCTTCTGGTTCTTGGTGGTTGACAATGGAGGATTAATGGGAGATTCATAGGAATGGAAATGGAAAAGTCTTGTGGGAAGGCTGCGTTGAATGTCAAATAGGCAATAAATTTATACTATTTGTTTAGTGAAAGAACAGGAGATCATACGTTAATATTTTAAACATGAGCCACGTTTCATTTCATTTCTTCTTCCCTACACGTTTCCACCATCACCCTATTTCTTTTTCATTGGTTAATATCGTGAATAATCTGTTATTAAATTTATGTCCATCAAAATGTTATTTTTCCAAATTAGCTGCCCTCACATAGTGTAAACTATACATCACATACCACCGAACTTTAGATATTATACTGCTTATACAACTGAACTGTCGATTTTTTTATTATTTCTAAAGATAATAATATTTCCTTTTTATCACTAATACAACTTAATGGGTTTCACGTAAGTTGATTTTTTATGAACTAAGTAAATGTAAGTCACTCCTATTGATATAAAATTTTCATTTGATCAAAAGATTTTAACTTTTAGATTCTATTAGATCGTAGCCTCATTTTGATGTCGTTTCTGTCATTGTTTGGTTTCTCTACTCGAGAAAATATTAACCTACTTTTTTTCTTTCTTTCTTTCAATTCAAACTTTTTGAAAGAAAGTTTAATCTCCTCAAATCTCAATTCAAACTATGTTTTTTTTACTAAAAGTATCATTTTCATTATCGAGATTTAATCGATGATCGCTTCATTCATCATAAAATTGATCTTTGCAGTGAATGCAAATTTAAAACCTTAAAAGATAGTTTAGTAGTTAAAGTAAAAGCAAATAGTTTAGTAGTTAAAGTAAAAGCAACCTAAAAATTTAGTGACTAAATTAAAAACTATAAGATGAGTTTTAGAAATTTATTAGTTAAAGTAAAAGCAACCTTAAAATTTAGTGACTAAATTAAAAATTATAAGATGAGTTTTAGAAATTTATTAGTTAAAGTAAAAGAAACCTAAAATTTTAATGACTACCAAAGGAGTTTATCCATAATTTTCTTATATAAATTTTATAATTCAAAGGACTAAAAGATAGTTTTACCGAGAGGCTACCTAACCTTTGCGCCGCCTCTGCTGTCCGAATGCATCCCAAGTACTCAACGAAATTCAAGGGCTAACACAAAATGAAAGCGACATTCGTTTTAATATATAGTTTTTTTTTCTCAAAATTATAAAAATAATATATTGATTATATATTAAGATAAAAAGAAACGAGAACGCATTGTCCGAGGACTAAGATGAACCTAAAATTAACATCAATAAAAACTTTAATTCAACAAAAAAAAATCTTTTTTCATTATACTATAAGTTTTTTAATATAGAATTATCATGGCACGACATACCAAAATCATGTCTGTGTTGGTTGGTCAACCACATAATTTATACGAGTTGTTAGCCTATAATGTATCTAGGGATGTGGTCAAATGTACTTGTCAATCAAGTTGGTCCATTAATCCAAAATTTAGATAGTGACGCCTTTAGAAGTTTGATTCTTAATTCACAATGCCACGACAATAGTCGTTTTATTTAATTTTCACGACATAAAAACTTCTAATACGAACATCATCATATAGAAGAACGACCAGCAAGTTTCTTGAATTCGTATGAAAATATCAATCTTCTAGTAGTTTTTTTGTTTTAAAAAAGACCATTTTATAGGTATAATCGTGTTCGGTTGAACAAGTCGATTTTTTTTCTTTCTAAAATACACCAGCCTCAAATCCAAACTATACATTTTTAGTCATATAAATTAACTTTTGATAGAAAATATTAAAATAAACTATACATAAAAATAAGGGATTAATTTTTTTTGTTTGACGAGTGGCGACACTAATCTTAATATTGGTCATTGACCGTCTGTTAATTTCTAATATCGTATATTTTTTTTATTTGTATACCTTTATAATATATTTTTTTCTTTGTTTTTATGCAATATTTTTCTATACTTTTATGATATATTTTTGGGACATTGGGTTGTTGATTTTTTTTTGGTACATAAAAGTTTAGGTCAGTGGTGGCTCCTCCAGTCCAAGGTCAGGGCATACCTAAGACCCAATTGAGATTTACATAAGACTTTACATATTGCCCACCAAGAGTGACGGTGGTGGGATTCGAACTTGACCTTACAAGCTCAAATTCCTGAATCCCAACCACTTGTGCCAACACTCACTGACTTGGGTTGTTGATGATGCAAAGCAAAAATGAAAATAAAATCATGGGATATTATGTTTTCTGCATATAAAGATATTTTGGAATTTTCTTTATTTTTGCATGGTAATTCAGGTCGTGTTAAGGGATCTACCTATAGTAAAACAATTAGGGGTGTTCAAAAAATCCGTAACTATTAATTATAACCGTTAACCGGTGTAACTATTATATTTAACATGTTAATACTAAACAGTTTCGGTTAACCAAACAATTAAAAATGATAGTTAACGATTAAGGTTACGAATTTTGATAAATAGTTAACTAACGGTTAACCGTTAATAAATTATATTTCTAATTTATTATATTTTTACACAAATAACTTAATATAATTTTCTATTATTTCTAATTTATATATAATTTTAATAAAATCTGTACACAAGTAACTTAATATATATTTTTTTATCATTTCTAATTTTCAATTTATTTAAAAATAAAGAAATATACTTACATTAATATAATTATGTGTTTATTGTTAGGTGCCAAGGTATTGGGAGATGTACATACTTACATCAGTATAAATATGTGTTTAGTGTTACGTTTTTTTATTTTATTCACTTACACGTGTAAATGCGCGTTAAGTGCTACACTTTTTTATTGTATGAATTAATAAACATGTTTATTTAAAGTTTTCAATCTATCTTTTATTTTTATTCATAAACCAAAGAAAAATTATGAAACTATACCACTAGTCATTAATTTTTTAAAACTTTATAAGTGGAACTTTAAAGTTTACCATTTGCTTAATTTAATTGTTATCTTAATTAATATTTAAAATATAAAAAGGAAAATTGGATATATAAGTCAATAAATAAATAAACTTAAAAATAAATAAATAAATAAACGAACTTGTTTGTTAACATAAACGAAACAATCATATCTTTAATTGTATTCATTCGTTTAATAACAAAAATAAAATTTTTATTTAAATTTATTTATTTAAATTAATAAATAAACATAAACTGAAGTCATACGAGAGGTTCACAAACAATTTATCAAATGTTATCTTCCTTTACACCGTATTTATTTATCATGTTTTAATTTCATCCTACCACCTATACGATGTCGTTTAACCCATAAACGGCAAGGACAACATACCTCGAGAAGGAAAAGTCCACTTACCCCTTTCTCTTCGTCATCCCAATAAAAAGTGTAAACGAGCCGAGTATTATTGAACTCAACTCGAACTCGAAAATTATAAGAATAAGTTCGACTCAACTCGAAAATTAAAAATTATCAAGCTTAACTCGAATTCAAAATATATTATTAAAACTCGACTCAAACTCGAAAAAGCTTGAAATCAAAAAAAAATTAGAAACTCAATTGAAGCTCGAGACTTGAGCTCGATTGAAGCTCGATTTTGAGCTCAATTCAACCTCGACGGGTTTTATTTTCATTTGCTGAAATCCATCCCTTTTTATACACTCACTTTACTCCTTATTCCCCAAGAACCACTGATGTGGGATATCAACTCACATGACCAACTCAAGTTCAACCCCTTGGAGCATCTAAAGGAAAGGCATTTTATCTTTCAAGCTAAATATCGTATAATGTGCATCTTCTTCTTCCTCCTTTTCTTCTCTCCCGAAATTCAGCAGCTCTGAGTTAATAAATCCTGGTTCCAAACATTCCACTTCCAATTGATCTCCCATGAACTGCAATAAAGAAGAAAAAGAAAGACATCAGCAGCTATAATAGGGAATTAGAATAGAATGTTAGTAATAAAATAGGCAACAATGCATTGAATGCAAGGAATTTTCAAAGGAGTAAATGCAGTACTAAAGAAAGCAAAGTAAGGCATACACAATAATGCCTCAATACCATTTAAAAGAAGTTCCCTATTCAGAATCCGAGACTGGCAAGTCGACAACCTCCTACTACTACCTCAAAAATCCTTCCCTTAATCTGCCCTGAGGTGGTTCCTTGTAATAGATCCATGTCAGTAACAGTAAATGAGAATCTCATATGGCAAGCACCTGAAATTCGTGGGGCTTCTCCACAGAAATTCCCTACAGCTGGAGAAGCCCCTTATGTTCATGTCCGACAATTTAGGACAGTCTGCCATCAAATTGCTCCTTCAGTAACAATAAGAACTGCAGTGCCTGTTTTCTCTGTCCCTTTACATCCAATATCATCTTCGGTATCCCCTCAACCACCACCATCTGTGATTCCTACTCTGCCCGAACAGTCCATTCTTCCTGCACAACCACCGCAATCTTCAACTCCAGTGCAACAATCACTATCTGCACTTCCCGCACAAGTGCTGCGAGCTCCTCCGGCATGTATTGCTCCACCTGTCACCATCAGGCAAGTGATTCTAGTATTTGCTGCTCCATCAGTATAGAAAGAAAATATCCCATCCATTAGGAATGAAGACACTGCAAAGGTTACTACTTCCCTACCTGCTCGGGTCAAGGAAGTTGCAAGCACAACAACAAAGAACCTGCAAGAATCTGAGACATTGCAGAGTTTACATCAACTCAAAATCTGATACTAGTGAAAGAAACGAATTTGAAGCAATAGGATAAGAGCCAATAAAATTTTGTGTTGGTAGCAAGTTTAATTTTGCGTCTCGTTTTTGTCATCTCATCATATGAGTGTTTTACTGTTATTTCTGCTTTGTTTGAAGTGCTCATGTTACATATAAAACAAAACGAAACTGTTGTTAGCTAGCTTGATTTATTACATTAAACCTGTTGATTAGGGTATGATAAAATATGATCCCATCATTTTAGTTGTATTTGTACATCAAATCTTCGTTTACATTATGTCGTCGAGTCAGTTCTTGAAATATTATGTTAGTGAGTCAGTGCTTGAAAGCAATTACGGTGTCGATAATCATCATTTCAGCAAGTTGTGTATATTTATTTTGCATGTTAATATTTTATGTATAAGTATGCGAATGATTTATTTAGGAGTCACATAACATTTTTTTGCATAATTTGTATGTTATCTTCATTTTTAATATATTTTTAATAATATAATTTTAAAAAATCTAAAATTATAATATAATATTTTTTTGGAGCTGTTCACGAGTTTTTCGAGTCGAATATCGAGTAATTCGTTTCGGCTCGTTAAGAACTCGAGTCGAGCTCGAGTCGAGTCCATTCGATCCAAATATTTATCGAGCTTTGATCAAATAAATCTCAAGTAACTTACGATCTGTCTCTTCTCATTTACGACCGTAATCCCAATTAAAGGAAAGAAGCGCAGAGTTTTATCAAATAAAACCCTGACACATGAAAACCCTAAACCATTAGTTAGAACAAAGACAGGCCGAAAATTCGAGGGTTTTTTTGTTACATCTGCATTTGAAGCAACTTATGACAATCTCACGAACAGCAGCACAGAAAATGAGTCGTTATGATAGCCGCTCCGGCGATCCCACCTCCTATCGCGACCGCAGAAGGTAACTACTTAGACTTTTGCGTTTACCCCTTAAAATTTTAATCTAATTTTCACTTTTAACATGTTTTATATAATTTATTATTCTGTGTATTTTTATATCTAGGTTAATCCGTTCATTCATTGCACTTTTCTGTTCCGAAATTAGTGGATTAGAACTGACTAATTATTGTTTATTTTCAGTTTTAGCTGTGTTTTTTCATCCAGGTTTTGTGTTTCTTTAGTTTTGATTAACTCGAGACTGAATGTTATTTTTTTAAAAATTGAATTTGTTTCTGTTAAATGTCTCTGTGAAATTCATGTTGTTTTAGCTACCTAACGTTCTAAACAATATAATTTAAGTTCTAACATAGCTTCATTTCACTAATTTTAACGCTAACTTTGGTTTATTGGCAAATCTTCTATTTTGGTAATTCTCGAAGTTTCTAGTCTCCTATCTAATATTGTAGTTACTTCGTCTCTCCGCTTAATTCTGTGTGACGGTACAGTGACTCAGGGTTTGGTGGGGCTTCAGCATACGGTGGTTCGGTGCGGCCCTTGTCCAGCAGAAGGGACTATGATGCTGCCGAACCACCCAGGAAGTTGGATTTGGATGGTTTGACTCCTTTCGAAAAGAATTTTTATGTTGAATCCCCTTCGGTGGCGGCAATGTCAGAGACAGAGGTGGAAGAATATAGGCAGCAGGGAGAAATTACAGTTGAAGGTCGTGAGGTTCTAAAGCCTGTGAAGAGTTTTGCAGATGTAGGATTTCCGGGTAATTTTTGCTGGTTCTGTTAATGAAAAAAATCATGTTAAAGGAAATGTTTTCTTTAGCCATTAGAACACTAGGTGTGCCTTTTTATAACCTGGCTGAGGTTTATTGCATGGAGAATGTAGTTGACGAATCCTATTTAATGCTTAACCTTTTTTTTCATTTACTTAGCTAATTTTCTGTGTTCTTTGCACATTTTGGATTCTCTGTAATTTACTTAGCAATTAGTGACAAGAGGACAGACCCGTTATTTTTTTTATTAATTGAAGATTCTCAAATATGTGTTTTCTCGCAGAGAAGACATCGATGTGTTTCAAGACTGGACTAGACAGCCATAGTTTCGACAATATTTATTTGTTGATATGCTCATCATAAACTTAGCAATTAGAGTCATCTTAAACCTTCAGTTTACTTATATCTTTGTTGATATGCTCTTGTTTCTTCTAGATGTTAAATCATTGACATTTTACTGCTGCCATGTTATAAATTGTTAATTAGTCTAAGATTGTTTTTCTCTTGTGCAAAAGTTTTTGTGCATATGTCTTTTTAGAGTAAAAAGAACATCATTTTGATGGTTAGGTTGGTTGTTAGGTTTACAATTCGCTTTTATACCTAGGAGACAGTTGTTGGGTTGTGCTTTTATTGCAAATGAAGGGATCGATTATTGGAGAAAACAAGGACTACAAGGGGTTGTTCTAAAAGTTGACTTTCGTAGAGCTTATGAATTGTTATGTTCTTCCCCTCAACCCCCTCCATTTTGCCCATGACATTTGCATTTTTTTAACTCAATTTGGGTAGTACTGACAAGTTACTGCATATGTACGAGGACAGTTCATTGTGAGCATAATGATTTCCCATTACATTTTCATTTTTTTAACTCGAGTAGCATACTTCTAAAAATGAGACGTCAGACTTAGCTAGTTGTACTTGTTGCTTAATTTATCCAAGTGATATGGTGGAAGTCAACTCTTTAGGGTGATAATAATGCTAACTTCAGAAGTCTAAGCTAGTGCTATCATTGTTCATGAAAAAAATAGATTCATTGTTTTAGGTTACAGTACAATGCAGCCGTTCAACCATCAGAAGGAAAATGATTTAAAATGCAAAGTATAGGTGTTACTGTCCAAATTTCTATTTAGTAAAGAATATGTGATTGTGTAGGACCTCTATTTTTTATATAAGCAATCTCATTAATTAGCTTCACCCTCTACCTCACTCTCTCTTTCTCTGAGTGGTACTTATATTTTATGCTGATCCGTCCTGATCGTCAAACTTTATACTGGAGTGCAACATGGCCAGAGGAGGTTGAACAATTGGCAAGGCAGTTTCTTTACAATCCATACAAAGTAAGATGCTTCACAATTTTGGCAATTTTTACTAATTACCTTCTCCTCTGAGGAAATTTGATCAATTGCCTTTTGTTTTGACATTTGATTTTCTATCTAATGCTTTTGCGATCTCTATGTATTATCTCATTAGCTTTCTCTATTTTATTTTATTTTATAACATTCAAACAAAATTTTTGGCATCTGATCGCAAAAAGTAGGATTTTGGCATCTGACTTTGTTGTTTCTAATTTCTGTTATTTACATAAACTTATTTTGACATTCAAAATTTTTTTAGTCTTTTCAAATATAACCCTTGGTTTCTCAAATTTGTTAAATCTGATCTTAAGGAAAAAAATAGGATTTTGGCATCCGACTTTGTTGTTTCTAATTTCTGTTATTTGCATAATCTTGTACAGGTTATAATTGGATCTGCGGATTTAAAAGCTAACCATGCAATTCGCCAACATGTTGACATTATTTCGGAGAGTCAGAAATATAACAAGTAGAGAACAGTTTATTTTGTTTGAATGGGTTTTGTTTTTTTTACCACTTAGTATTGTCGAGGCTGTTTGTTGATCTGTGTTGGTGTTTCAGATTAGTGAAGCTGCTGGAGGATATAATGGATGGCAGCATAATTTTGATTTTCATGGATACCAAGAAAGGCTGTGTTCAGATCACCCGGCAACATCGCATGGATGGTTGGCCTGCTCTCTCGATCCATGGAGATAAAAGTCAAGCTGAAAGGGATTGGGTCCTTTCAGAGTTTAAAGCTGGCAAAAGCCCTATAATGACTGCAACAGATGTTGCCGCTCGTGGCTTAGGTATGTATATTAATAGCAGGGGACCAGGGGGCACACATTTCTAACTTGGACTGGCCTTGTCATCTGGATTATTTATTTAGTTGGTGGCAGCTGTGAAAGACGTGAAATACGTAATCAATTATGACTTCTCGGGATCTCTTGAGGATTACGTCCATCGCATTGGTCAAACAGGAAGGGCGGGGGCAAAAGGAACGGCATACACTTTCTTCACAGCTGCAAATGCCATATTCGCCAAAAACCTTATTGTCATACTTAAGGAAGCTGGACAAAAGGTCGGCTATTTGACCAAACGAATATTTACCTTTTTGGCATCGTTTAATATATATTTCTCGAAGTGGCACCCTTTCGGTTGAGCTGGCGAAAGGTGCGTCCCCGGAAACGCGCTTTACCCGTGTTTTCGCTTAGTTGGATGCCACGTGTGGAAGGCGCAAAAAGGTAAATATTCGTTAAAGGCGTGTCGGTCAAGTAACCCAAAAGGTCAGTCCTGAACTGGCAGTGATGGGACTCGGTGCACCTCCTCCTCCATCAGGTTAGCTTACTGTTTTTCTTCTGGAACACGCAGGCGCAAGCAAATTGAATGAGATCGAATAATTTTAGTTAGTTCTCGTACCATTTGCACGTTTAGATACTTGCATCGAGGTGCTAAAGAAAACACTGGCACATTGCCACGCATTATGAGATCATTTCTCTGCGCTTCAATTCAATAGAAGTGAACCGTTTGAATTGCCGGATATATTACTCTCAACTTTTTGGCATGAATAAGAATCTCCATAGCATGTTGTAAGCAGTTTCTAAAAGCTTGATAATCTCTCCTAATTTTGCTCAAATAATGAAGCAGGTCATAGTGGTTTCCGAGACCGAGGTAAGGGCTTTACGATGGCAGCCGCCCTTGGAACTGATCAGGGAAAAGAGACCTCCATAAAGGGGTCTAAATTGTGTTTTTGTTAATTTGTTTTGACTACCCCCTCTGGTTTTTGTGGGTTCAATTGTCATTACCTGCAAGACTAGTAGGAAGAACAATCATAGATGTAAATTAAGCGTCTATTTTCTGATTATCCATATTCCCCCGCTATATTTGACTTGCCTTTGTTTACACTCTTATCATACCCATATCAAATCGAATATTGCATTTTTTGGAAATCTTATTTTGCATTTTAAATTTAGTCTAATTTATCTTTTTAAAGATATTTTACGAATCAGTTATATTAAAAAAGGAAAAAAATAATTTTATATTTAATTTTCCTACGCATAACCTATATTTAATTTTTTAATGTAATTTAATTTATTTTAGTATCAACTCTCATGAAAGAATAACATGATATAATTCAAGAGAAGAATTAAAACTCAATTGATATAATTTTTTAATTATTAGACTTAAATTTATTTAATTATAATTAAATTTATAAAATTTATAAATTTTAAGAATTTTTTGTTATACTTTATTATAAATTTATTGTATTCTGAACGAAAAAATAATTTAATTATAATTAATAAATTCGATTATAATATTTGAAGTTGATAATATGACCACTAATTGAGAGGAATGAAGTGTGTTTAACTTTAATCCTTAAACTAAAATGTTTGGCGGATAATCAAATCAAATCAGCAAGCAACGTGAGGGTGGGAGAGCAGAGAAAAATGGAAGCTTCGCCGGAAAAGGAATCTCAAGAATGAGCCAAGGTCTAAATCTCTACGATTACAAACCCAACATAGATACAGCAAAACTCAATCTCATCCCAATACCATTTTCTATATTTCCCAAACAAAACAAACTTGTCAACTTTTTAAAACTTAAGAGGTATTTGGTTGTTTGAAATTCGATAACTGCAGCTCAATTGAAGCAATTTCAGCAACAACAGAAAGGAAATGATTTTCCTCTAACATCATCAGGCACAGCAGCATCATATACAATGGGTCAGCCGCTGCCGTCGCCACCTCAGCTTCCAAGGGAGTCTTTTGCAAGGTGTTACAAGTTCCTTTGGCCCCTTCTTTTGGTTGTCAACCTTACTGTCGGAGGTGATTCCTTTCTTTCTTTCTTTTTAGTTGTTGAATGATCAGTAGTTTAAATGAGTTTTTCTAATTTGGCTCGATTCTTGATCTTTATGCCTTTCGGTGTAGTTCTTGATTCTGTTTGTGATGGGCAATGTGTTTGGAAGAAGTTTAGGGATTTTCATGATGAAGATGCATCATGAAACTACGATTTCTCTCTTGTTAGTTCATATCCCAACTTAGCTTACCAGCCTTAATCCTCAGATAACTATGACTATTTCACCCAACTGAACCCCAATTTATTTAGTTGAGCTGATGAGGAAAAAAAAGGCTGATTTTTCTGGTATTCAACCAAAAGAGGTGTGTTGATTATATAGATATATGTAAATGAGTAATCTCTAGCTTTAGGTACATTCATGATCTGAATGTGTATCGAACTGATGGGTTTGAATGGTTTTAGTAAATATATTTACATCCAAATACCTTGCTATGGTGTTATCTTAAATTCATTGTTACTAAACTTATGCACCGAGCATCGTGGAGTGATTATCTCCATTTTCGTTGGGACTTATAACGACGATGATGAGTGACTTGGTTGCTGATTGTTTCCCGTTTACCGATGAAAGCTGCTTGATTGATTTTTTTTTCAATGATAAGTTGCAAACTGTATAAGCCGTAAGTTATAACTTATTCAAGATTATAGAGGAGCAAATATTGAATAATAGCTATGACATTCATATAGCCATCAAAGTTGGATTCCTAGTCCTCAAATCAGTGTGAGTTTTTTTGCATGTTAGTTTCAGTTTTCTTTCTCGTGTTTTTCTTTTATATGCAGAACCCGGATCATGTTCAAATGAGAGTAAAATGAGTTGTTCATCATTGGTAAGAAAATGTCTTGATGTGTGCATGGACTTTTAACAATTCCAGGTTCTGATAATTAATTGTAGGCCAGGGAAGAGAACTAGCTGTTGTTCATAAGTGAATAACATCTTTTTTCTACATATGTTGTTCACTTGAGGAGCACAATTTGATCGATTTTCTTTTTTGGGTTGTAATAATTAGCATTAACCGTCTTGCTTCTATAATCACTTAACCGATTTGTGCTCCACCCTCACCGGTTTATGCCTCTTTCCTTGGTCCGAACTCGACTTTTTAACATAAGTTTGTATTTGTCTGATAAAACTCTTGTATGATTAATGCAGCTTATCTTTTTCATGAGAACTAAGAAAAAGGACACGAGCATAACCGAAGAAAATGTTGATTCGAGTCCTCCTGTTTCAACTGCAACCGTTGCCGCTCCTCCTGTTACCGAAACCCCATTACCTGCACCACCCGTCTCACGGTATGTGAAGCTGATTTAACCGATCTCGGAGAGACAGCTGTTGGTAATGCTCAATCCCACATAGTGTTGGAAACACTATTGGGAATGGTATTTAAGGCTTGACATTCCACTTCCTTGTTGAGTGATAGAGAACAAGGGGGGCTCTCGCGCACCGCCGCCGCCGTCCGTCCGTCTCGTCTCGGCTCGTCTCGGCTCGGCTCGGCTCGGCTCGGCTCGGCTCGGCTCGGCTCGGCTCGGCTCGGCTCGGCTCGGTCGGTCGTGGTCGTGGTCGTGGTCGTGGTCGTGGTCGTGGTAATGCGTGTCTTCGACACGTCCGCGCGGATACTATCTTTTTAGAGAAAATTCTTGAGGAATTTCTCTTTGAAAGAAACAAATGGAAAATGTGAAAGATATCAACTGATATTTATAGGCTGAGGACTGTTTGAATTTCAAATAATAACAGCTGAATTATTTTTTATCAGAAATTAAACAGTTTATTCCTAAATTAAATCAGAAACGTTAAGATGTACCTGGACTGATTTACAGCTTTGTACAGAGGAGACAAGCTGTTAATATCAGGAGTTACAGGAGTTATTTGATTTAATTCCAGGGGTTACATGATATAATTTCGGGAGTTATAACAGCTGAATAATGATACAATGAACCTGGACTATTTCTGAGTCAGGTTCATCTAGTCGTTTCAGCTGTTACAAATAAGAGGTTTAATCCTGAAATTTTATGGACGACTTTAACCCTATTTCTAGCCTATAAATAGAGAGCTATATTCAGCTTCTCAACTCACTCCAAAACATTCACAATTCACTTACCAAAGTGTTTTCTAAAGTTCTCTCTGTGAGTTCTCTCTGAGTGCTTTCCGATCAGAAGTGCAATACCACCAGCAGTCCACTCCGGTTTCGGGTGTACGGAATTCGGAGCGACCGTGTTAACCTCGGGGGACGGTCCGCCTACTGCAGCGATTACACACATCGAGGCGAATTCGTTTCTAAGGCAGTGGTTCTTACCACGACACGGTTTACGAATCTGTTCTTCTTAATTACTGTTTATATTTTCAGTCAGTGCTAACGGTGTAGTTTTGCAGTTCATATATCCAACAATTTAGAAACGAATTCCCATAAACTGCAATCATGTCGACACCTTTGAGCAAACTATTCCCGATCTTTCCAAGCTCGATGCACTTGATGGAAAGAACTATAGAAGGTGGTCCCAAAGAATTCTTATATTCTTCGAGCAACTTGATCTTGATTACGTGTTGCTCAAGCCACCACCTACCATGCCGCCAACCCCAGCTGTTGGTAATGATGCTGATGCGGTCCTCAATGATGATGCCTTAGCAACTGCCGCCGCCGCTCTCGCTACTTACGAGAAATTCGAGAAGGATAACAAGACGGTACGAGGACATCTGCTCAGCCACATGTCAAATAAACTATTTGATATGTTCCTTAGAGAAAAGAGTGCCAAGGCAATATGGGACACTCTCGACAAGAAGTATGGTGCGGATGATGCGGGATCAAGAAGTACGTTGTCGGCGAATGGCTCAAATTCCAGATGACAGACGACAAGCCAATAATGGATCAAGTCCATGACTATGAGAACTTAGTCGCTGACATCATCGCTGAAGGGATGCAAATGTGTGAGGTGCTGCAAGCCAATGTACTCATTGAGAAACTGCCCAAGTCCTGGTCCGATTACCGTAACTCTCTTAAGCATAAGAAGAGAGACATTTCGCTTGAAGAACTTGTGGGCCATATGAAGATTGAAGAAGCCAACCGTTTAAAAGATAAGCTTACTAATTCTATGAGTAATTTATCTTTTAGAGCTAACTTGGTTGAGTCCAAATTTAAGAAGATCATGAAACGTGGGAATCAAGACAAAAAGACGAAACCACAGAAGGCTACCAACTTCAAGAAGTCAGGAAAGGCCAAACCGGAAGGAAAGACGTTCAAGTGTTATGTCTGCGGTTTACCTGGCCACAAGGCTTACCAATGCCAACACCGCTCAGACCGCCAGAATGACAACAAGCCACAGATGCACGTTGTAGAAGAAGATGATGAGATCATTGCTGCGGTGGTCTCAGAAGTTAATCTGGTGGAGAACAGTTCAGAATGGGTAGTTGACACTGGCGCTTCGAAGCATTTCTGCGCAAGGAAGGAGTTTTTCACTGAGTTCGAGGATGGAAACACTGGTGAACGTGTGTACATGGGGAACTCTAGCAGCTCTGAAGTGCTAGGCAAAGGCAAGGTTTTACTCAAGCTGACTTCTGGTAAAACTCTGGCTTTAAATAATGTTCTGTATGTACCTGCCTTGCGTAGAAATTTGATAAGTGGTGGGCTTCTGAATAAGGCAGGCATTAAGTTAGTTTTTGAGGCAGATAAACTTGTACTTTCCCGAAATGGTGATTATGTGGGGAAAGGGTTTTTAAGCAATGGTTTATTTGTCATAGAAACTCAATTTAATGAAAATAAAGCTACCACTTCTGCTTATATTGTTGAATCCATTGATATGTGGCATGCTAGATTAGGACACGTGAATATTCATGCTTTAAAGAAATTAATGAATATGAATGTTCTGCCTAAACTAGACACAACTAGCTTTAATAAATGTGAGATTTGTGTAGAAGCTAAGCATACTAAACCTCACTTAAGACTGTTTCTAATAGAAAGACTGAACTGTTAGAACTCATTCATACTGATCTAGCAGATTTTAGAAACACTGAAAGTAAAGGAGGAAAACACTACTACATAACTTTTGTAGATGATTATTCAAGAT